GCAGGCTGCATCGGTGCTGCTGCCTCAGCTTCAGCCTCAGTCAAGAGCTGGGTCCCAGGCGGCTACTGCTTTCCCATCCATAAAATGGGTGAGTCCTACTCCAGCCACACCCCAGCCAGCTTCCCAGCCCCTAATGACAGGGCTGAGGGCTTTGATGTCCCAGATGAAAGGCCACCCCAGCTCCCGGGCTGGCCCCAGGACAGTGGACTCCACGTCCAGTAAAGCAGGCACCACTCTCCAAGGGCCAGGCCTGACTGTGGGAAATGGGCCCTGCCTGGCCTACCCAAAGGCCACCATCCCCGAGGCCCCAGCCAGGCCAGCACAGAGGGCAGGGAGGACCAGGGTCTACAGTGGCTCCCGAACAAGAAGCAGGCTCTGGACCCCTCTGACCCCTCTAATGACAGAGGGACCAGGAGGCGGCAGGTGTGCATTCTTGAAAGACAAGGACCCCACCCAGACACGCCCCAGCACCCCCTCATCCCCTGCAGGTGAGCAGGTGCAGGGCAAGACAGGAACAAGAGCCCAGCACCCCTAGGGCAGCTCCCCCGGTCCCTGAGAATGGGGTACCCTGGCCCACCCACCCCCACTCAGACCCCAGCACCGTCCTGGTTCCCACGGACAGAGTGCCTGGCCAGTGCTTCTGTACAGAAGGACAGAGGTCACAGCCAGCTGGGCTGGGTTCACAAGACACGGACCAGGAGGGCTTCTCTGGGTCTCCCGAGAGCAAGGTCCGGAGGCGATCCCCCTACCCACCCCAGGTCCACCACACCCGCCCTGCCCGCCTCGACTAGTTCTCCAAACCCAGCAGAGTCGGCATGCGTGGCCCTCAGCTAGTCAGAAACAACCCTGCCCTCCACGTTAGTCTGAGTTCCTGCTGGGACAGACCCCGATCCCAGAGGCTGGCATCCCACGGGACACCCGCGACGGGCACTGGGGGCCTTGGTGTGATGATCCTTTGGCCTGAGCTGGGGACCACATGGCCACATGAAGGACTAGGCTTGTGGGACCCAGTGCAGGGCTGGCGGGAGGCTTTCTGCAGACGGCTAACAGCGGTCCTGGACCTGCTTCCACCGCAGCTGGAGCCTCTTTAAGGGGATGCAGTCATTCATTTGTTCATTCATTTCTTCATCAGCTGGTGTCCACCAGGCCCACTGGGCCTAGCACTGTGCCCAGGGTCGGGGAAGGTGATGAATCAGACCGAGCCAGGCTCGAGAGACCCATCAAGGCTGGGAGATAGGCAGAGACCACACAAGGTGTGACACGCTATGGCACAGATGCCTGGGGCAGCCACCAAGGAGGGTCCCGACAATCCCCTGCCTAAAGCCAGGGAAGGGCACCTAACCAAGCCGGCTCAGGGGTGCAGGGGGTCCCCAAGGGAAGGAGGGGCTACACAGCCCACGCTGGGCAGGGTATCACAGCATAGGGGATGGTGGGGGCTCACAGCCAGGACCTCGGGTTGAGTGTGGAGTGGGGCAGATGGAGGCCGGTACAAAGCCACAGGTAAGAGCAGGGGACCAGATGTAACCTTTGCAGGCCAGGCGGGGGGGGGGGTGGCATGGGAACAGGGTAACCAACAGGCTTAAGGAAGCTACTGGTTCAGCTAGGCATCAACCAAACGAGAATTGGACAGGACCCACACAGGCCAGGAGACAGCCACAGCAAGCAGACAGGACCCACAGAGACCAGGAGACAGCCACAGCAAGCAGACAGGACCCACACAGACAGGAGACAGCCACAGCAAGCAGACAGGACCCACAGAGACCAGGAGACAGCCACAGCAAGCAGACAGGACCCACAGAGACCAGGAGACAGCCAAAGCAAGCAGACAGACAAGACCCACACAGACAGGAGATAGCCGCAGCAAGCGGACAGACAGGACACACATAGACAGGAGACAGCCACAGCAAGCAGACAGACAGGACCCACACAGGCCGGGAGACAGCCACAGCAAG